ATTTATTTATTTATTTATGTGTTTGTTCGATAGATTTATGATTGGTGAATTAATCACTCATGTGTTGTTGCAATGATAGTGAATGCGTGTAGCCCAGAGCTGGCCCATTGCAGTACGACAGTTGTCAGAACTTAATTTTTTTGTATTGCAGTTGTTTCTTTACACTGCTAAGTAACATAAGCAGTGTAGGACTTTTGGAGACGTTCTTCAAACATCAAAACTTCTCCAGCTCTGGTGGTGTTACCTCGTATGGTTAATAAAACTGCCTGCAGCTCAAAAATCAAGCTTGGGAGCTCCAACAATGCAGTGTTAAATAATTCTATTCCCCAGATGCTACTCTACCTTGAGTAGAGATTGGACCCCTGGATCTAAAATGGGCATCTTTCCTGGTTAGAGAGGAGAGCACCAACTCTGCACAGACCTGCATGTGGGGTTTGATGGCATTTTCCATAAGGAAGTCAACATGCTGAATAGAGCCATGCCCAAATGCCAAGAAATCCCAAAGAATCCAGTCTTGTTACGGCTGGATCATTCAATGTTAAAATGTGATCATGCTGGATTTAGAAAATATAGCACCACAAATGCGTTTGGTGAACTTCACTGGGTTAACTAGAAACTGGTGTTGCAACAGAGTGAAGGGCTGCAGAGAGAATGCATTCGCCCAGAGTCCCTCCTTGTGGGAGAGCTGGGTGGTGACATAAATTTGACATATAAATAAATAAATAAATTCGCACACCTTGCATAACTCACAGCTGCATTTGTGCTATCCTTGGACAGTATTAACTTGGTTATTTATTTTTTCTCCTGGCTTAGAGTTTTGTGTGAACCCATCCTCTTTGGCTAGTTTACGGTTCAGTGAACTCTGCAAACCGAGAACACTGGTTACTTGTGGGTTGTATGAAGCCAAGCAAGTTCACTTAGACCTCTTTATTTCAGTCTATTTAAGTGGCCGAGAAGCCTCTGTTTGCTGCAAAAGTGTGATACTTGTTTTATTTTATCAACCTTTTATCAACCCTTTGCAGAGATTGCAATGGGAGCAGCGCTTCCAGTGACCACCGAATGGCCGTCCATCGAAGATGATTACACCTCGCCAACGATTCTTCCCTCGGCGATAAACAGAGACTACTTTGAGCCCGCTCTGCCAACGACCACTGAGGGGGGGGTTGCATTTCCAATCGAAACCACTGTCCCCTTCGAAACTAATGGGGAGAACCCCGATGCTGTTGGAGAAGGGGAGGCCCCCAGTCCTGGAGAAACACTGAATTCTGGGTTGGCTTCCAGCGAAGATGATTCTGGTTCTGTCACTGACATGCCCAAGACATTCCAAATTACAGAAGATCTAAAGGGAACAACAGAAGACCATTTGGATGACAAGAACGTCTTGATTCAAGTCAATTCTTCAGAACCATCTTTGGAAGAAGAAACTCTTAAAAGAGACCCTGCTGCCGAGTCCAAGGAAACAGTCACAGCAGATGTAATGTCAAAGGAAACGCCTGCTCCAATTTTGGATGATGGCCATGAAGCAACCGAGCTTATCACAGATAACTCTGGCATAACAGATGCTCCGGTGACTATTCTTGCAACCAAGGAGGAAGAGCTGTTAGCAACTCCCTCCAGGGAAAAGGCAGAGAATGCAATTTCCAGTGAAAGAACTGCAGAAGAAGAGAAGCCGTCGGAGGCCATTCTTGGAGAACCAAATCTGGATGACAAATGGAACCCCACCCCAGCTTCATGGGAAGAAACTGAAGCTGTCACTTTAGAGCCAAAGAAAGACACCCCAGAACCATCCACAGATATTAGTAGGAAGTTAGAAGACCCATCCTCAAATCCTGTAGGTTTTCCTAGCGACCCAGAAGAGCTGCCTGACCAAGAAACAAGAGGGAGCTTGGATGCTGGAGGTTCTCCTTCACTGCCTTCAAAGGATAACCCTGAGACAAGGCCTTCAGCAGTATTGCCTTCCAGTTGGCTATCCCCCACCGATGCAACGTTTGGGTCCTCAGGAGCAAGTGACTTTGCCATAGACTCCCTTCAAGCATCACCTGCTAGTGTGGCTGATCTAGGAGTAGACTCTGGTCCTACAGGAGGAAGAGGTGATGCAGATCCAATTCTCTCTTCATCAGACCCGGAGCTTAGCCATGAAACTACCAAGGTGCCCACTGAAGAACCAGAAGACTTTGTGGATGCTGAAGCATCAAATTCCTCTCCTTCAGATAGAACAACAGATGCTCCATCTGACTCAGTGTCTCCCCGTGACACCCCTCCTGGGCCTTCACAATCAGACTTTGATGTAACAGATGCTCCTTCAGTGGGACTTTCTGTAGCTCCAGGGATATCTTCTCAGTTGCCTGAAGATGGTGAGATGGGGGCAACTTCCACAATGAAAGAAGTGGAAGAAGGCTCTGGAAACCCAGAGAGCAATGAGGGGACACCTTTTGCTTCACCACTTCCAGGACAAGAACCTGATCAAGGAACAGAGACACCTGATGGAGAAAACATTTCTGCAGACCTCCACATTGGCACAGCTTCCTCCTTGAATCCTGGGGTGGAAACAGCTAGTTCAGAGTTGGAAGATAATGAGGCAACAGCCATATCTAACAGTGCTCCTAAGGGTGAAATAAATCCCACCTCTTCAGATTCTGCTGCTGTATCTGAAAATGAATCAGAAACTTTGTTTAACATCAGGGAGACTTCTCCTCCTCCTGTGGACAAAGAAGGAGCTGCTAAGGCACAAGAACCACCTGCAGAAGCTTCAGCTCCTGCATCTCCTAATGAACTACCTTCAGAGAGAGAAGGAAGTGAGGTCTCCCCAAGTGGGTCACCTGGAAATATTGGTTCTTCTTCTGAAAACAGTGAAGCCATCCCAAGTGTTGCTTCAGGCTCTGACACAAATGAGGTAGACACACAAGCTAATAGTGAAGATCAAAGTGGGACAGATCTCTCACCTTCCCAGACAGAGCTCTTTCCAATTTCTGGAACCCCATTGCCTGTGGAAAAATCAGGGACCTTGAATGATGGACTGTCTCCAAGTCAGTCACTTGGAGAGAATATACTGACATCTGGTTCCAGTTCTTCCTCAGAAGGAGAACCTACCTTTCCTTCAACATCTCCTGATGAAGCACTTTCTGGACCCCTAATTTCAGAACTGGACACAACAGAACTTCCATCCAATCCATTACCTGGTTCCCAAACTTCTTCCCAACCACCAAAAGAGAATGACATGGAAACAGGCTCAGAGGATCCAGAAGATTCTGATTCCATCAACGGAGAAGAAACTTCCTCTGCTCCATCCATCATAAACCCTCAATCAGCCCTTTCAGGAACAGGGGCTACCGAGGGACCAAGCATTTCTGGAGATTTAGGCAATGGACCAACTTCATCTCCTAAAGAAAAGAGAATTGGATCTACTTCAGAGCCAGCAGTTAATGAGGAACCTCTTTCAGATAGCAACAGTGCCCAGGACAAAATCAATACTCCACCTTCTGAGCAACATCTAAGTTCTGAAAATGCAGTGGAAACCAGTATATCAAGCTCTGCAGAGATACCAGCTGCAAAATCTGGAACAATTTCTCCCCTGATTATAGATACTGAGACATCAACAAAAGCTCAGGAACTATCAGGAGAAATACCTTCTTCTGCATCTATTGATGGCATACTTTCCAATTCAGAGAATGAAGATGGAGAACCCTCTCCGAATCTATCTTCCAAAACTCTTGATTCTTCTCCGAGCAGTGAAGTTGCAGATGAAAGTAGAGATGGGGAAGACAGTACAGGGTTGGCTTCAGCAACCAAAATAGCCATGACAGTGAGCAATGAGGGTCAGCCTGGAAGTGATCTTCCTGTGGGACAATCAGTAACTTCGCCTGTTGGAGAAATTTTAGCTCTGGCGCCTGTAGAAGATGGAGAGACTCTTGTGACAAATGAAGAGTCCCCTTCAGCCCTTCCAAATGCAAAAATCCCTTCTCTCTCTGTTTCAGATTTATTAGGGGATCAGCTCAGTGGGCCCTCTGCTTCTCCAGGTTCCTCTCAATTATCTCCAGATGATATCTTAAAAGCAGGGTCTGCAGCTCCTGAGGAGGGTCAGGACTTGGAAGACTTGGCTGGAGTGACAGGGAAGGAAACATATTTGACTCCCTCAACCACAGAGTTACTCTCCCCAGATCATGCAGAAACCTTTGTTTCACCACCAGTCCCTAAAAAGGAAGCTCAACTGACAACAGGAGCAGTATCTTCTGAGGATGGAAAAGAAACTGGAGCAATGTCACAATCAGACTCTTCTACTGAAGGATTGGAAACTTCTGCCTCTGAGCAAGCAGCGGTGAGTTCTCAGTCATCTCCAGATGGTGAAGCAGCACCTGAAACTTCCAAAGAGACAGAACAACTGCAAACAGCTAGTGAGAAGGAAGCACATTTGGCTTCATCAACCACAGAGTCACAGGAACTTAGAACATCAGAAAGTGGTGAGTCCTCTGGAGCATTCAGCAAAGGAAATTCTGCCCTTCCTGTTGAACTGGCGGGAACTGCTAATCCACCTTCAGCAACTAACAAGGGATCTCAGTCATTTCCAGAAGATGTAGCTTCTTCTGATGGGGCAGAAGATTCAGAAGACATTAGTAATGTAAGCAGTGAGAAATCTTCTCAGGATCCATTAGACAGAGAATCACAGTCTAAAACATCTACCAGTAACGAGGTTACTGGAGGACTTAGTGATGGAGAATCCTCCCTAAATAATAAAGGGACTGAAACAGCCAGTGTGGAGTCAGCAGATAATGCAGGATCTCAGCTGCCTCCTGATGATGCACAACCAGGAGCATCTACAGCCTCTGAAGGTTCAGAGATATCAGAAGGCCCTTCCAGTGTAAATGGGAAGGAAGGATCTTTGCTCCCATCAGCTGCAGAGTCACATTCAACTTCTACTTCTACCGAAGAAGTGGAAACTGCCAACTCAGAATCCGGGACTAACACAGGATCTCAACCATCTCTCAATGGTGCATCAACAGCCGAGGTTCAAGATTCTGAGAGGGCAGAAGCAGTGGAAGATATTTCTAATAATGGGGAGAAATGGTCTTTGGCCTCATCAGCCACTGAATCACAGTCTCCAGGAATATCTGATCGTGAAGAAGTTTCTGGAGGAATTGGTAATGGGGAATCTTCCCTCCTCACTAAAGAGTTGGAAGTGACTGGCTCAGGGTCAACAAATAATGCAGAAGCTCAATCAGTTGCTGGTGGAGCAACTGAAGAGTCTGGTGTTTCCAATAGAGTAGAACAATTAGAAAGCTCTTCTGTAAATGAGAAGGAGACTTCTTTAGGTTCATCAGCTACAGAGTCATCAACACCTGATGCACCAGCAGATAAAGAAGTCTCTGGAAAACTTAGTGATGGAGTTGAGGTGGAAACAGCCAACTCAGAGGCAGCAAATAACGCAGAACCTCAGTCACCTCCAAGTGGTGCTGGGCCAGGTGGAGCTACAGCTTCTGAAGAAGCAGGAATACCAGAAGTCTCAGGTGTGAGTGAGAAGAAAGGATCTTTGGCTGCATCTGCTGCAGAATCACAAGCAACCTCTTCTTCCAATGAAGAAGCGGGAACTAGCAACACAGCAACGAATACAGGATCTCAACTATCTCCAGATGGAGTATCAGCAGCAGGGTCTCTAGCTCCTGATGATGCAGAGGTATCAGAAGTGTCTGCCAGTGTGACTGAGGAAAAGGGATCTTTGTCTCCATCAACTTCAGAGTCACTATCAGAGTCATCTGCAACTGAAGAAGTGGGAACTGCCAGCACAAAGTCAACAGCTAATGGAGGATCTCAGCTGTCAGCAGATGGTGCATCACCAGCAGGCTCTCTTGCTTCTGAGGGAGCAGAAAAAACAGAAAGCAATTCCATTGTGAGTGAGGAAAAGGCATCTTTGGCTCCATCAGCCACCGAATTACAATTTCCAGAAACATCTGCCAACGGAAAGGTTCCTGGAGGACTTGACAATGGAGAATCCTTCTTATTCACAGGAGAGGAAAGGGCCAACTCAGGGTCATCAGATAATGCAGTATCTCAAACATCTCCAGATAGTGTAGGAACAGAAGGGGCCATAGCCTCTGAAGGAGCAGAGACATCAGAAGATAATTCAGTTGTAAGTGAGAAAAAATTATCATTGGCTCCCTCATCCACTGAACCACAATCACCTGCGACATCTGTCAGCAAGGAGGTTTCTGAAAAACTTGTTAATGGAGAATCGTCCCTCTCCACTGATGGAAGGAAGGATACTGCCAACATAGGAACAGCAGGTACTCAAGGACCTACTTCTTCCACAGGAACAGGCCTGAATCAAAAAAATATAGCAGAGCAACTTGGAGAAAAATCTGATTCAAAAAGTGAAGTATCTTCTGTTGATGGAACAAAGATTTCTAAATCTTCAGGTGGAACCTTGATTTCCAACACAGCATTTCCTAATGGGAACTTGGCCACCAAAGCTACAGATTGTTCCCAACCACCTTCATGTATCAGGGTCAACTTGGCAAATCCAGTGAATAATGGAGAAAATTCTGCTCTGCCTCTGAGTGGACACTCTGTCCTTTCTAGCAGTGATACTTTGGGTGGATCAGGTTTTCCAACCCCAGATGCACAAGCAGGTGGAGAGTTTCTCCCAGGAGCCTCAGGAGGTAGTACTGAGGCTCTGGCCAGTGTCAGAGACTCTGTTCACCCATCTCCTGATGAACAGACCAAACCAGCAGCAGGTCAACCATCAGGAGTGGCATCTCCATTTGCTTTGTTGCCTCCCAATAAAGGCCTGCCCTTAGGAGCCTCTGATTCAGGTTCCACAAACCCAGGAAATGCTGCTGAGAAGTTGCTGAGTATTTCATCTTTTCTGAATCAGAAGGTAGAGGAGAGATTGGCTGGCAAAGTAGCCGGTAAAACAGACTCTTTCTCCTCTGCAACTCCAACAGATGAACTCTCACCAAATGAGCTTCCAAGCTCTTCTCATGGACTAGCAGTGAAGAATGGGGAAGGTTCATCTCCTCCAGCTCCAGAAGGAAGAGATGAAGTTGTCAGCTCAAGCTCAGCAGCTCAGAAGGGGACCTCCACAGCTTCTATTGCAGGTGGAGCGCAACCTTCTCTCTTGGGGGCAAAAGTAAGCCCAGCAAAGACACCGCAGTTGCCTTCTGGGAGCACAGGACCTCAAGTCAAAGCAGACACCCCTCTCCCGTCCCCCAAGACTGAAGTCACAGCAAACACTGAGCACCCACTTGCTGGGAAGCTGCTACCTTCTGGTCCCGCATCTCCTGTCAGCACTTCCGCTTCAGATGAGAATGGCTTGGGTTCTTCAAGTAGCCCTAACCTCTCAGAACTGCTCCAGACTTTAATCAAGAGTAAGATTGCTTTTGGTTTAAGCAAAGCCCAAATGGGCAAGGCTAAATCAGATGCTCGTCTTGCCTTATCAGGACTTGGCCCACTAGCGACAAAGTCATCGCAACCCACCAGCAAAACTTCAGGGAATAAGCCTGACTCTGATTCCAAGGCTTCCAAGAAAAAGAAAACAGAGGCTGCCGATGAGAACTCTGCCAAGCTGGGCAAGGCTGCTGCTGCACCATCAGGTGGGTTGGTGACAAACCACATTTCATCTGCTGGTAGATAGACCATCTTCCTAATGATAAAATACATGGTTCTCCCCTTCCTGTAGCTTCCATATTATGCATGCCCAATGAAGGCATCTATGTGGGGGTCAAAAAGTCAAGATGGTGGCTGCAACCTAAAAAGAAGGCAGGGCTTGGATCATACAGTTGCAACCATCCTAAATTGCGGCCCTTCTGTGGACACCCTCGCATCCAGTCACATTTTAGCAGCAATACAAAGAACATGATATGCATTAGAAACCCTGATTTACAAGAACGTATCACTTAATAATCACTTACACACTGATGTGTAAGTCAACAAAAGAAGTCACATTGCTTTTATTGTTCTTATGGCCATTATACTGTTCTCGTGTCCAAGAATTTTGGACACAGAAAGTATTGTATGTGGGTGAGTGTGAAGAACCTGCAGAGTCTAGTTATAATTATTAGCTACTACAGCATCCGTCTATGTTCCCAGTTAGTATTTCTTGTTTAAATTTAAACCACGATCAATTCAAGGCTGAAAGTCAAAAGCAGCTTAATCAAAAGAAAAGAAAAACGACCTCAACTTTTTATCTGTGTTGTTCAGGCCCAGCAGTGTCCCTGTACCCCTACGGACCCAGCGTGAACGATAAGCAGTACGTTGAAAGGAAAGTGGATTTTAACTCCCCGCTGTTCAAGGTTGAGATTGGAATCCCACTTGGAAACACACTACGCACCTCCCTCTATGTGAGTAATTAGTGATTTGAGATTAACTGGGGGGCTTGATTTGGTATCTACCTGCCCCACATGGGGCATTTGGAAAGGAGAATCTCCACCTTGCTAGGACCAAGCAGGTGAAAGGGGTCACCTTTGTGGGGTCTTTGGGGGAGTAATCAGGGGAAGGGATAAAATATGTGTCCAGATGTCAAACCCGCAGCAGCACACAGCCAAGATGTAGAAGATGGAGGGAATGGCCTTGAA